TGTTCAAACACCACTTCCTGATGACCCAGAATTTGATGAAGCTTTGCAACAAAGACCATTGAGGAATCTCATGACCTATCTCAAGCAGAAACAAGCAGCTGCAGTTGTAAACCTTCCTGTGACTCCTGGAAATCCGGCAACAACAAAGGATGATGTTGGTGTTTTACATGCATTTCCTCCATGTCAGTTTTCACATGAGCATCTGGTACGTATAGCTCCACACTTGTCACCTGAACCATCAAAAGAAGATCATCTGGTTATTCTTGTTATCCGTGGCAGTGGCTAAAAAGTTTCTGTGTGACTCTAAAGTTTTTTCATCACTCTTGTATATTAAATGCTGCTTCTTTACTGGAGGACTGGCTTCATTAGATTTGTTTAATTGTGAACTCTCTCCTGGAACTCAAAAGGCCCAAAGGCTTATTGTCACCTTGACTGGAATTAAGTGTTTGTGTCAATGACCTCATCATATTGTCTGCAGTTCTTTTGTCATTTGGATCAAGGTCTCGACGTAAAGAACTCTTGCCAAGTTGCCTTATTATTACCAATAACTTTGAAAAGAAATCCTTGTTGTCATGTCACCTTTTGTTCTGCCTTGTCTTGAAGCACAGGCATTTAAATATCTACAAGGCTTACAGCTTGGAAGGTGCCTTCTTCAAATTGTTAAGCTGCATTAATGTTCACTGGTTCTCACAGATCTTCAAATCTAGCTTTTGGCCTCTATAATTTGTGTGTCATAATGGACCGAGGACTCTTAAGAGTAGTTTATGTTCTTAATCTTGCTCAGTAGTAGTGGTCAACAGGGTAGTCAGAGGAGTGGTGTCTCTTTTAACCCTTTCTCTCCCAGGAGCGACCAAGACATGATTTTATAACTCCATTATCAATAAAATATCAAGCAGATAAGTGATGACATTAGGGAAGATATCAACCAGGGAATTATTTTTTGGTCCAACATCAAATTCTCCACCCTAATATTTTAATAATTGTATAGCAGACAATAGGGAGAATTACTATTTAGATCCAGGGAGTGAAAGGGTTATAGCGCCAAGAGAGCATTAGAGCTACAAACATCCTCATAAAGCACGTTAAACTTGCAGTAAATGCCTACCTATGACTATCCTGGCAGTAAAATAACTAAACTCTGAATTGTTTTTGGTGTAGATATAACACTAGGGTAAATCGTCTTTCATGGATTTGGTGGTAATGTTGAGAACAATTTTTGCATTTAGTCAGACAAAAGGAGTAAGCATCTATCTATGAATTATGGTGTGTTCAGCTCGTTTACTCTCAAAGTAATTGGTGTTTAATCAAGGCAACTCTCCCTCTTGTTTAAAGTTAGACAGGGCTCTTTTCAATTGATTGGCTTAAAACAAAACCAAGGTAACTGAGACGGTCAAACAGGACAAAGATTATTAGAGCCAATGCAGTTTTATAAGAGGTGATACAAATTAGGCTCAACTGCAGGGGAAGGAGACTGACCAAATCCCAATTGCTCTTACTTTTGCATCTGATCATTTGGAATTAAGACTTTAAACCAATCAAAGTGCACTCATGTGCCAAATTCAATCCCAGATAACCACAGACAGTCATTTGAAAATTGCCTTTAACAGTTTGAAACTGAATAAGGAAGCATTTCAGCCTCGAGGAAGCAGTATTATTAAAAGTCATGCATATTTTAACCAGTAATTAGTGTTCTGCCAAGAAGTTTGCTTTTATAATATGCAAATTGTTAATCCATACGTATCTTTGTAGTGGTCAAGCTTGTCACTGTTACCCAAAGAATGAAAATGGCTATGTGTAGGTTCTATACCGTGATGGTTATTGGTATACATATTACAGTTTCCAATGATTTATTCCACTTGGTAACTCGGAGGATGTAAAGAATTGAGGCCCTGATCTCCTCTACTTTCATCCAGTTGGAGTTAGATGGAAAGTATGCCTTCTTTGGTTCATGTGCATTTGGCATGTTGACATACTTTTTTTAACTCTTTGAGTGTAACAATTAGATGGCATTACATTTATTAAACTGATTATGAAAGAGATTTTGGTTCAAGTGGCTTGTTTGTTAGCACTGGTTTCAGGAGCACTCAGCTCAGTGGCTGATTCACAATTTTTTTTCTTGGAACATCGTAAATTGCCTCGTCAGTTTCACAACACTGACTTCATTTTCATGCAACATTCCAGGCTATGTGTGACCCTCTGATGCAATTGGAGACTGCACACCCATCCTTTTGAATCTGTGATGTCAGGTGTAACCAGCACATTGTTGGATGGTGTTAGTTATGCTGATTATTGAGTCAAAAGTGGAGCTGTACTTCAATATTTTACCATGAGCGGCCATGGGTACATCATTACTGATTTGATTAAATATGAGATTGGAGTTGGAAGTCAAACTTTACTACAAACATTTTGAAAGTGGAAAATGTCTGACCAACCAAATTAAATGTGGAAACATGTTTAGATACCTTACATTTACCACTTGTACTTCTAAAGGATTTCTAAAAATTGATACTCAAAGTAGTCTGGCTGGACCAGTAATCATGAAAATAGAAGTATGATGCTTCTGGAACAGTTTCTTTATCATTAGCTTAATGCAAGTTTAAAATCCTTCATTAAAGAGGGTTAAAACCTTTGAAAGGGTCAGTTTTGGTGGAATGTGGAAACTCACTCATCTTCCTACAGAGGGACATCTGTAGGATGTGAAAAAGTATTTGTGTGCAGCATGTCCAAAATGAAATGTTTTTGGAGACCATAAATTAGTGTCTTCTCATGAAAGGTTTCAAAAGTGTTTACTTTGAAACAGTTCAACCATACCAAAGCTTCACCATTATGAAAGGAGAATGCTATTCTGCAGTACAAGAAATACAAGAAATGTGGCATACAACATTTGCAACTGGTAGAAACCCTGAATAAATTACTTTTAAAGCCTTCTACCTCTGATTTAGTTCTACTGCAAAGCAGCAAAGTAAGTATTGGCTGATCTGAACAAGTGGATACAAACATTTGCTTAGGAGTCAAATTTCATGTATCAATCAAAGCTGTGTCATTCTGGTCAGATTGGTTTTGTTTCTTGCCAATCACCTTCAAACTAGCCTATCAGTATCCTCAAAATGCAATTTTCACTGGTTTTTAAGACTGACCCTCAACAATAGCTGGGTTTTTTAAACAGTAAAATTTCAGCATCCACTCCAAGAGATAGACTGCACTTTCTATCAGCTTACAAGCATTCTACCCCATACAGGATGTCAGGAGAACACAAGAAAAGTTTGTTAATGAGGAGCTGGAGGGGAGTAATTCTCTAACTTTTCAATGTTTCTCCCAACATCCTAAGTGGTTTGTCATGCCAATAAAGCAATAGAAAGTGCAGTCCAGTGCTTTTGAAAAATAAATGGGATTATCAATGAAATAAAAAATTGGTTCATGACCAAGAAGGGCACTCATAGTGTCTCAATTATTTACAAAATATGATAGTTCATGTTTTTGCTCCAAGGGAATTGAATTTTGACATTAACATTGTAACAAATCAATTTTTACATGATGTGAATCTGCAGTTTTATTGTTGTTTCAATTTTTCCTTACCATTTATTTCCCCTGAATCACAATGTAATTTCCTAACCTCTCCTCAACCTCATGGAATTTTTGCTGACTCAGTTCCTGAAAGGTAGCAGGGACATGTATGTATACTGATAGCCCAATAATGAGGGAAGAAAGCCATAAACAGGAAGCAACTACAAGGGTTTGGTGGAATTGAAGAAGGTTGTAGGTAGCCTTGAAGAGTGTAGCTGTGTTCTAACCAGAATTTTGAGGAATGTTTTGAGAACACTTTTAGAAGATAACTAATCATAAGTTGATACCATGACTTGAAATATTTAGGTAATCTTTAAATCCTATGACTTATTTTGACAGCAAAACCAGAGATTGCACTCAACTGCTCTTACAAATCAGCAAAGGCTCTTGAGAGTTACAAAAAATGACAGGAGTTTGACAGATTGGGGAGTACACAGCATTTCAGTTACTTCATGAAAATTTAGGAACAAGAAAACTGGAATTCTGTAATGAAACTTAATCCCATCAAGAATGCTATTGAAAATGAAAAGCCCTTTATTAAAATATGATATCAAAAATAATTTTACATCATTCATAATAAAAACTGAAGGCACACAACATAGAGAACAAATGTTCAACATTGTCTGAAGAATATCATATCAATCTACAATAATTGAAGCCTAGACTCCTAATCCAAAGCCTAATCCAATGTTTACAATTTTATTGTGGGACTTTGCTCCTTCACTGTCAAGAAATAATTCACTCTGTTAAGAAATTCCACAGTGTACTTCATAATTCACTCCTATATTGAGCCAATACCCACTGGAGACATAGATGCATTTATGTGTAGAAGGATGCCTTTCCACTGAGTGTGGTAATACCAAAAACAAAGTAATCACAACAGCCAGTGAGGATGAATGAAAATATTGCAAGGAACCTGAGAGAATTCAAAGTAAAAACAAGACTGCTTGTGATGGGTTAACTCATCATGGTTGATTTTAGTGTTGCATCTGAATGGGTGAGGAGGTGGCACAATTTTTTTAAAACAAGCACAGAGCAAAGTAATGAAAAACTACTGCAATATTGGATAATTGTCGAAACTCCACCAAAAATTTCTGTTACATCTAATATGTAAGAGTATAACACTTAATACAACAAGTACATTTCTCATGAGAAAGAACAAACTTGAATATCAACTTAAAGCATCTAACATGTTCAATAAAATACAGTTAATATATAATAAGGAACTATTCAGTTATAATGCCAAGTATATTATTGATTAAAAGAACAATGTTATGACCTTAAATAAGGCAAAATTCCAAATAGGTATTTTTCAAAAGTTTTTTTTCCAATGTACTTGATAAGATATAATCCAATGTTAAAAAATGTCACTCATAGTATGTCTAGCAGACAAGGACCCATCACACTCAAAAACTTGAAAACAAAGACCCCTCAAAATAATGGTTAATCAACCAAAAGAATCATGATAGAGGTCATTTTGAACTCCAAGGTTCTAAGGGTTCCATGTATTAATTCTTCAAACCAAAAAAAAAATTAATGGAATTAAAGTTTAGGGGAGAAATCACTGACAGACAATGAAGTAAGGAAAGTGCATCCTTTTCAATTTTTACCTGCATTAGTATGGGCTTACAATAAAAATACTTGAAAATTTGTATTCCATTTTTTGAGGGTGTTGTGTTTTCAAGGTTTAGGGTCTTAAGGGTCGTAGAGTCTTTCATGTTTAAGACAACTGTCTATGATATGCAAAGGCCATGTGAATTTTGTTTAGCTGCATTTCAAAAACAACCAGAGGGAGGGGGTCACCGCCCCTTGGTATAACCAGGGAACAAATGATTGAGAGCTGCATCTAAAGATGTGTTCACTGTGAATTTGTAGTTCCTTCCAAGCTCAGTGCGACAAGCTGGACAACAATAAACCTCTGCCTTAAAGGAGCGTTGAAGACAACTCTGTGAAAATAGAAATTGGATTTTTTTCAAATAATCAATTAGACTGTGGAATAAAGAGCTGCTGAATTTAAAACAAAAAAATTACATTAACCTTTTCCACCCTTAAATCATTAGGCATATTCTTCATACTGTTCTGTGCACATTTCTCAAGGTGCTGAAAGGAGAATTTGTTTAACAATCAAGAGCTTCTTTTGCTGGTGTTAATTTCCTTTACTCTAGTGACTTAAGCAATGCGATATTGTAATGATAGTGTGTGATATTGATATTTTAAGGAGAAATTAGATGCAAGTCACTCTTAGGGGTCCAAGGTTTGAAGATAAATGTCCACAGTTCACCCATATTTGATCATTCCAAAATGATCACGACTTTCCCTTGATACAGAATAAGGTCATTACATGCAACCCTTAAAATAATTGTGACAGGTTTCCTTGATGATCATATTTAGCAGAAATCATTAACACTCCAGTCCTGGTAAAGAGGAACAGAAGGTTTCTTAACTGACAGAATGGGGCCTTGCTTTTTTCCTCCTTGATAAGACCTTACTCAGATTAGTTTTGGGGTGTCATTTAGATTTCCTCAGAGGGCTACCATTGCAAGACTCATCTGTGCTCAATGTTTCTAAGAGTTTCACAAATACTGCAGGAAGCCAAAATCTTGGAATATTAATTACTACCTAAGTACATAACTAATAACTATTTTACATAACTTGCTGTAAAAAAAAAAAAAAGGAAAAAACTTACCTTACAGATATTATGAAGACATTTTGTAGTTATAGGTTCACATACAATGTCTTGACAGCAAATGCATGTGAATGCCTCTTCCACCTTTTGAACAAATGTCTGTGAATGAATTTAAAGATTTGTAGCAACTTCTTCATCAAAATATAAAATAACAAAATAAACAACAGTAAGAGAAAAGTGTACAGGCATGGAATGATGATGAAGGTCTACTCTCACAATAGTAGTTTTATCTTTGTAATCAAATCTGTCAAAATGTCTTTAACTATCATTAATAACACTATCAATATGATAACAAATGGCTTGTAAGAAATACTAACAGGGTAGTCTTGTAATCCACTGGTAACTTCACTCCAGAGTTTGGTGTTTATTGTATCAGCATCAAGCAATTCTTTCGTCTTTTCTGGCAACTTATAGCTTCTTTTCTTTGCTGGAGGTGATTTGGTTGGGCTCACTTCACCTTAGTATTAAATACAGGAGTTAAAGTGACAAGAGTAGAACAAATAAAAGAGAAAGAAGAAAAACTAAAGACAATTCTCTGCAGCTGAAGTTTCACCCTGAACCCTTTCACTCTCAAGATCTCACTTACTAGAAATTCTCCTTACTGTCTAACTACACAATTCTTAGTAATCAGTTGTGGGAGTTTAAGGGTTAATATTAGATTATGAAAGCTTCCTTGCAACATACATATTAAAGAGAGAAAATAACTCTCAACACATGAGAAATGTTTTGACAAATAAATGCTGTGTACATTTATGTTGCAACACTTATTCAAGATTATCATTATTTGCTTATTTGCTCATTGAAACATCCACTTCTTTTCATCTTTTTTAATTAAATTGATTGCTTGATCAATGATGTAACTTATCAATTCACCCCCCTGTTTAGAGATATTTTAAATTCAAGTAAATTCAAGCATCCCCAACTGGAAAGCAGCTCCAGACAAGCTATAAGTTGACACAAAAGTTAAGACATGAAAATAAGTACAATGAACATTGAATATCCTAACTCCAGTTCACTAAAAGGCTTAGACAGATACAGCTGTGGACTGAATTACATCTTTATTTACAATAATGTAATGTAAAATAATACATAACAATAGCATATATACAAATCCCATAATGATAAAATTTTTTAAAAAATTGGAATAAAAATTATTTCTTCACACAGTTTTGGTTTAATTTTTGTGATTAAGATTTAAAATAGTTCAGAAAAAGTTTACATTTATCTGGAATATGTTAAGCATAATTTTTTTTTACAGGCCATTGAAATCAGAAAAGAGTTCTCTGCCCTGTTTGTTTATTTATTTACTTAGTTTCTGAAAATGCCTATTGACTGCTTGACAATAATGTTAAACTAACCTTTATCTCGTTTCCTTTTACCCTTGCCTTTCCCCTTTCCTTTCCCTGTTTCCTTTTCCTCATCTTTTTCTTTCTGCTGTTTCTTTTTTTCCTCTTCTTTTTTGGCTTGTGCCTCCAAAAATCCTTCAGGATACTGATAATATTGACAAAATGTTAGTCTAAACAGCAATTATAATTCAAACATAACTGAAATAACTGAGACAAAATTCAATCATGGTTAGAGATTCAGTCTGAACAAGATATAAGTAGAACCTTGATACATGAATCCTGATAGTTCAAACTCACTTTAATGAAAAACTCATGTTAACTTTGTGTCCCTTGGAAATCATATTTCAAATATAATTTTATAACTTATAACTCAATATTTTTTTTTGGTCATTGAAGGTTCAAGTTATCAAGAGTCGCATAGTTGTATCTGCACAATAGTGATCATCAACATGAAATATGCTTTCCTCTCTAAACCCAAAATGAATGGCTATTGTTTTTGCTTAGTGAAAAATCACAAAAATGTTTAGCATATAAAGTTCACTTACCACCATCTTCAAGCCATGTTCTTCAATTAATTTCTTGCCCTCCTTTGTCCATGGTGCTGGGGTCTAAATAAATTTGTCATAAGAACTGTTCAAGTTTAATGAATTTGCAGAAGTGAGGAATCATTTTATGGGCATGGCCTTATTGAACAAAAGTTAAATAGAGGAAATTCCATCCTTTGTAGCATCAATTGACTATACAGGAACATTGTTTTTCCTCATATTGGGGATTCTATACAAGATCAACAGTGAACTTTTATTATCATTCAATGCATAAACTATCTCTACCTCATCATCTCTGCGTAACAAGTATCTCCAAACAATAAATCCTGATTTCCCCTTCTCTGGCCAGTATTTCACAACCTGTCAATCAAATGCAGATTGTCAAAGGAGTTGTTCAATGCAATTACATGAAAATGAAAGGCCAAAAAATATATCTATTCAATCAATACATTCCCTACTGATATGTGTTTGTTCAATAATATACCACAAATGACATCAAAATGTGGTAAAAACAAAAATTTGGGTCACATGGAAAGAAACACTAAGTTAAAGATTTAAAGATCAAATGGCTTGGAAATCTTTCCAAGACTGCAGTTAGTCAAACCCTATAGTGTTTCTGTGAACATGTATGATCTACTACCTTATATATGCCATCATAGCGATTTCCATCTGCTGGTGCATGTTTGGAGTGCTTTGCCAGCTTGGCACTTCTAACCTGTTATGTGGTCATATATAAAGAGTATGAATTCAGATAAAACTCTAACAAGAGAAGAAGTGATGTTCACAGTTTAACTGCAATTAATTATTCTGTAATTTAAGAAAGACTTGGTTGACTCAATGTGGGGCTTGAAAGAAGATTCATCCCACGCTGCCTTTCAGATACAGGTTGGCCATTATAGTTCAATCCCTGCAAAAGGCTGAATTCATCCACACTTGTTCTCCTCTAATTAGTTAAAATCTAGTTAACAGCAGCTTATCTGTGGAGATCAATTCATCACATCCCCTGGTCAAAATGTGGTTTCTTTTTAAATTTCATGATTTTTTTGCTAAAATCCAACATGTTTCTTGGTTGTGCACTATTTTTTCCCCAATAAAACAGTTATAAATTCATAGTTATAAGAAATAAACATTGTTCTCTGAGCTCATGCCAAGTTCTCTCTATGGCACTCTCCCCTTTTACAAGTAATCTCAACAAGAACAGCAAACATTTATTTTTGGAAACTTTTCTCACAGTTGTGGAAAAATCAAATTTAGACCATACCACCCTCACAGCTTTTCCTTCTTTCCAGTTTTTAGCTTCTGCTCCATCTTTATCATTTAATGGAGCAGCACAATTTTTTGCCAGTGCCCTGAAACAGATTGGAAACATGTGCTTTTTTTGGTTAATAACCAGGGTAACATGTAGGTTATCCTATTCAATACATGCATTATGTTCCTTATTTTGAACAAAAAAATCAGCTTTCTTTAGAAAGCCCTCTTGCTAGCATTACCTGTTCATTTTTGTTAATGTTTGATCACATGACTGTTCAGCTGTTCTTTTATTTCCAGAAAGATCTCTACCACCACTTCCAGTGTAAAAGAATTCCTCTCCATTGTCCTACCCAAAAAGATTGAATCAGTGGAGCTAAATTTACTGTGCTTGCATAAATTTATAACTGTGATGATCCTCCTTATATTACAAAAATCTAACTTAAAATGGTAGTGATCTTTCTCTAGTCAGTCAAGCCTCTTTCACCCAGATATAACAACTTTCTCCAATTTAAAATCCAAATTAATCATGAAAAAGTTTTTTAACCTCATTAATCTGTGGAATTTAATTTAATTTTTTTTTTCAAAACTTTTTTTCCAAATTATCTGCGAGTGTCACTTATACACTGGTTTTTATGGTATGACCTTTCAGTATTATTAAGCGTTGCAAGTTTTATAAATACTTGCAAAAAATGCTTTGTGGCTGGTATGACATGGCATTTCCTCTCAGCCCTGAGACTCATCAGATACTTTTTGGACATTTCATTGGTAAGTTTAATGTATTGGTCAGAAAATAGTGACGAAATCTCATTAGATGGAGTGGGCACTTCCTATGAGTTATAGCAACAAATTAATTTGATGATATATTATATTTGTAGTCCACTGATTCACCAAATCCTTTACCACCCTTATATATTTGGACCTTTCAATATGATAAGTTGCAGGTTTTATAATGGTCACAAAAAGAGGAAATCTCATTAGATGTGAAAGAGGAACTTCCTATAAACCATAACAACTAATCAATTCAATAATTAATCAAAACTGAGGTCTGCTCACTCACCAGATCATCTTCATATCCACCAGCCAGCACAATAGAGTAGGCTCCATCACCATCCCTGCCATGAATGCCACTGACATGTGGACGGTGAATCCCAGCTTCACTAACCTAAAAACAGACCAAACATCAACTGACTGGTTAGCCTTATGCTGTGGACTTCCATGTGTCCATCAACAGTAAACTACTTAATAAATAATTCCCAGTGATCTCACTTACACAAGCAATCAAAATGCTGACAAAAGACAAAAATTACACATACACACAAAATATACAATGTAAGCATAATGTACACAACAAAATTGAAAAATATTTATTCACTCTGAGTTTCTATGTAAAGTAACTCTGAATGAAAGAGCAATTATGCTTCAAAGACCAAACAATTTCTATTTCTACCATTAGAAAATATATATATTTAAGAAATTAAGACAGCAGTAATGTTTTGAGAGTCCAAAGACTAACCCAAACTTCAAATTTAATTTTCAGCTGCCACCATTTTGAATGTTACTGAGCAATCTTGCCACTTACCCAATGCATAACACCTCAAAGCGTGGCTTAACTCACACCACATAATTTAAAATTAGAGCATAAATTTCATAAAAACAGATGAGACCCAATACCAAAGCAGAAGCTGTTTATGAACACCATGTTTAATTTCTCACTATTCGAGTTGAAATCTACGACATGACAAATGATTATCCAGCCTACCAAGCCACTTTCCAAAAGTGGCATCTACAGTAGAAGTTTAACCCTTTCATTCCCAAGATCTCATTGGTAATTCTCATCACTATCTATGATACAATTCTAACAATGATAGTTTGGAGAATTTGGTATTGGATCAACTAATAATCCCCTGATTCATATTTTCTTCATTCTCATCACTTGTCTAGTTGATATCATATTGATTTTTTTGAGGAGAAATTCTCTCACAGCCACTTATGGGAGTTAAAAGGTAAGACTACCCATTTTAACCTTCAAAAAGCCACAGAAAATAAATTCTGTGTATAAGCTTTAAAAATGGAAGAAGTTTTTGGAGAATTTTTCTCCTTCACTTCAGATAATACCAATACAATGCTTAAAAAAGAACTCAAACCTGAACTCTGAACTTCCAACAAGATCCTACAGGAACTCCAGGGATTGGTCCAAAGTGGTTTGGAGGCACAATGGAGCAAATCTTAGTCCGCCCAACACAAGCCATACCCTACAAATAATTAGTGGTTGATAAACTTTAAAATAGAGTACTTTAATTCATCATTGGCTCCCAAATAATTTATCTACTTGCCACCAAAACATCACAAGACTTTGCAATAGCCCAGTAAAATAATTTTTTCCATCATTTGATCACCAAGCATATTATTCTAAACATTTTTTCAAGAAATACTTTCTTACAACCCAGGAAGACAATTTGCCATTATCTATCATGAATATGAGAACAGCAACAAATGAGAAAACTATTTTTTTAACAGAAAAACACAGTACAATGGTGTTACACAGGAGCTCATCATTATCTGTGGGCAGTTGTCTATCACGAAGCACGACAATTTATTTATTACATAATGGGCTCTTAGTCAATTAACACAAGGAAAAATGTTCATCAAATAATGACAATGTATACCAATTTGTCTAGAGAAAATGTGCTCAATTTTGGTTCATTTAGTTACTTCTGGTTAAAAATACCAGTAGGATAATATAGCCTGTACAAAAACTTGCTCTGAGCATCACAGATTATTTAGACACTTTAACATCATTAAAACTTTCATTTAATGCTACTTTAAATCAACTCTGTTCAAACAAAGAAACCAAAAGCTCAATTGCACTGGTACCTAATGCAAATACAAATTAATTTCTGAGTTTTTTTCCATTTTATCTTGAACCTTAATTTAGACCTACACATTACCCAAGAGCAAATGCCTATACAATCAAATAGTTGATAAAATAGTGACCTGAAGGTCTTTACTAAATCTGGCCCACTTGCAAAACAAAGTTACAGATCAAGAATTCAATGCTGACCTTTCCCCAATCTCTGTTTGTAGTTGAGTTTGAAGAAGCCATCTTCATTTTCTTCTTGCTTTCTCTCAACTTCTCTCCAGCATGAATGACCTACCAGACACAAAATCAAGGTAACGAATAAAATGAGGATGACATTTGAAGATCATGGTTTATTGGGATTGAAGTAGAAGAATTTTCTTACCCAAATCACTTTCTTTCTCTCTTTGAGGAGACTCAATACTCTAATTTCTTCGAAAACTCTACTCAACTAAACTCTGGACAAAAACTTGTCAAAAGCAAAGTCAAATACAATCTTGTCATGACAGGCAATTAAACAAAAATTCCAACACAACATTTCATGGAAACAGATCTTCTGATTAATCTCTACAGGTCCATCTCATTCAAGTCCAGTTTTGGAGTGTTTTAGAATACAAGTGCAACTGATATTCAAAAGGCACACATCGTTGAACCTGTGATTTTATTATGATCCAAAAACTTTAGCACCACCTTACCTGTGATGTATCATTTTTACACAGGGGGCAATACCTGAAAACAATATTAGAACCAAGTTGATGATAATAGTTTCCATTTCATCAAAATTTCCAATACTGCAAAATAAACAGTAACATCAAGGTATCAGCAACAGAAAGTGAGAGGCATACCATTCATCATCTTCAGGGATTTTTTCCAAAGGTGGAGACAAACAATAGATGTGATATGCTAAGTCACATTCATCACAAAGGAGTTGGTCACCAGGGTTTTCTTTTCCACCACACTGTAACAGAGAGACCACAATCAACAATTAAAAGTGACCCCTTATTATTTTCCCTCCATGAAAAAACAGGAGCATTCACCTTTCATTTAGGGTTCCAATGTGTGATTTCAGTATTGAAAAAAACAACAACAACAACAACAAAAAAGGAAAAACACCATACCCAAGGTCTCCAAATCTGGGTGCTGTTGGAAGCACCCAAGAAATTTTTACACAAACTGTTACATGAAGGGGAAACAAGCAGTTTAAATTTAATACAAGCTCAATTTTATTCTGATTTGAGAAACTAATTTAAAGTATATTGCAACTCTCATAACTTATAATAAATTTTATTCTACCTTATGGCAATTACAATGTTTGCACAATTTCTTTGGGTCATCTTTACAGTAGCTGCAGTCAGGCTTCACTTGTCCTTTATAACATTCAGCACAATTAGCAATGAGGTAAAACTAACATAGCACACTTGACAATGCGTAATGCTTCAACTCAAAACAGTGATTACTTATCCTTAAAATATTGATAAATTATCAAGCCAGTGGGGGAAAAGAGAAAACAAACACATCTAGGGTTAAAAAAAAGAGACAATTTTTGTTTCGTTTTGTCAAAAGCATGGGACAAAGAAAAAATTATTAGTCCCTGATGCAACACTAAATTCTCATAAGAAAACATATAGCTAAGGAAAGGGAGAGCTACATGTATAATAAAGTCACATTTTAAAAGTGAAAGGGCTGAAATAGTTGGTAACACAAAATGATTAATGCTTCCAGCTACTGACATATAAATATCTTAAAGATTTTTTTGATATGGCTCTTTCTTGTTCATATTGCTCAAACAAAATAAACACAACAACACTTGATTTAATTTATGTGCTGACCTGGTTCTAAAATTGTTTAGTACCTAGTGTTCTTATTAAGAATAATGTCTATTTGTACATTTTATGTGCATACTTTTGGCTGGTGAAGATCTACTGCTGGACGAACTTATAGATTCCCCTGACCTACACGGATCTGTATATAAAAAAAAAAAAGATTGCTTTTAATTTCTTTGAGCCTTGTTCTTCTTGGATAAACTTTGTTGTATGGTGTGCCTATTAACGAGTCTCAATTATTGTGATTTGTGCTTCAACATGCATATTTCAAAACACATTTCCCTCTAAAACAAAGTACAACATTTAAGGAACTAAAATAAATTTTGAGACTGCACAGTTTCCACAAAGAATACAACATTCTGTGATAAAACCTCTTAAGGACCCAATTTCAGTGTCTGTATCCACTTAACATATATAATAAATAAAAACGTAAGGGAATACAAAATAAGGACTTTGGCCACTATCTGCTTCAGACAGGGTGCTTGCTTCAAAACAAAATTGATGAAACAGTTCAAAACATACTCAAGGCTCTTCACTGTACCTGGAGGACCTTCAATCTGGAATATTTCTTTGTCAATGAATTTAATTTTGCACTCTTCTGCAACTGTGTCTTCTGTGCTATTTCTTAGAACAAGAGGTGAAATAGGTTTAGAGATACATATATATAGTACCATGGCTATTTCAATACTTGACTATCCACAAATATACTGAGCTTGATGCTAACTTTTGACACCACCTTCTACTTTTCAAAATTTATTTTCCACCAGAGTATTTCACTTCCAAAATGCTTTACAGAAAAACAACTTTTTTTAACACAAATAATGATACAGAAAGCAAAGTTTGATATTCCTTAATATTCTAAAATCACTTGAAGAAAAGTGTCTCTGTTGTTTTATTAAACTTAATGAAATCTTGGTTATTAGATAGATAGATAGATAGATAGATAGATAGATAGATAGATAGATAGATA